CGCAACATCTTTTTCCAAGGAACCATAAAGAAGTGTACTTAAGTTGGATTACGAGAAAGCCTGGAAACAACAGTGAAAAAGGAAGAAGTAGCAAGTATCAGCAACATATAAACAGGTGGAAGAGTGCAGCTGTCGCAGGACATTATGGAAGTGTTTGCTTGGGGCATTTTCCCTAAAGTGACACAGAGCTCCAGTACTCTTCCCCTGGAATTAATGCAATTCGTAACTTTGGATTGCGTGTGCCACACATTAAGCATTAATATAGATTATTTACGTATTCTTCCAAATGAAGGTGAACTAACGAAGAACATAGAAGCTTATAGGGAGCACTCTTACATAGGGTCAGTGGCAACGCATCATCCAATTTATCTACTGTAAAACCACTGTATGAGAGAACATGGAGTCTAAAACTGGAGTTACCTCAAACATCTAAGCGCAGCAAAGTCCTATAAGTAAGCAGTTTGGACATTCAGTGACAAACAACTACTTACTTGGCAAGAACCCATCATACACGTTATTTATTAAAAAATTAGTTTTAATTAAAACAAAGTATTGTAATCCTGTAGTGTGGTGTCTTTTTTATTTCTCTAATAAACTGTGTATAAGTACACACTAGCATACTAATGCAAACCACAGTGGCTGTTCCACCGATTTGGGTTTAAGCCTCTTTCTTTTCTTAAGACAGAACCAAGAAAAATATATCCTGTCCATGAACAGTAATCAGTATGTCTACATGAATTTATAGGCATGTTTAATTTACTTATAAAAAAACACAAAACCAAACCAGACATGAGTCATTATTTGCACTTCTTCTGAAGTTAAATCCTTGCTAGAAAGGCGTACCATTAAATTACTACGTAAAAAAAAATATTTTAATAGTTACAAACAAACATGTCAATTTATTTACATCTACATGTTTCTGAAAGTCAGTATTGCATGTACGAAGTGGAAAAATTAAAAAACAAAGCAAACACCAGCAATTAATCAGGGAGACATCATCCAGGGGTGACCCACTTATAATGCTGGAGACTGGAATAGGTCCCACTTGATGACTGTCAAAAACTAGATGCATGACCTCAGATGGTTTGCATAATTTATCTGCAATTCCATTTACCCAGCCTTAATTGGGGAAAATCTAACTTACCTGGATTGCAGTTTGTCATCAAAATAGAATGTGTCCTAGAAATGCATGTTACCATTCAGATACAAAAGTATTCATGCACAGTACTTTAAGCCTCCAGAATCAAGTACTCTCCATTGGAACATAGAGAGTTTTTGCCATTTATTACTTGTTTGATGAATGTTTCAATCTTCTAGAAGAAAAAGGGAACCATTTGCTTACTACCTGCTGAGAACATTAATACAGCACTTCAAATCTAATAAATGAATGAGCAGGGAACCATTGGATTTTGCAAGTTTATTGCATGGTAGTTACATTACTTTTCAACTGGCCAATCTTTAATGATATTTTTGAAATGACATTACTTAACAAAACACATTTCCTTTAAATAATCATGTACCTACAAATTGTCTTTAAAACTAAGCAAAGAAATTAGGCTGGGAGCACTCACTGGATCAAGCCGCTCATTTGTGAGTAGTCCCTATAAACAAGGATTTGCCAATCTGCCAAACTAATTTTCCTACTCTGAAATTAATGTCATCAAAATTGATAATACCACTCAATGTAAGTTACAGATCTCTGCTGTAAGCAGAGAGGTGTTATCATTAGTTGGCGTAAATCTACACTGTTCTTAAAACCAATGGAACTACATCAATTTACAGCTGCTGAATATTTGTCCCTGTGTCTGTTTTTAGCACTGATAAAACCACTGAACAAATTTTAAAGCTCCCATTGACTGTAGCAAGACCAATGCCTACAGGAGGCAAGAGAGACTACAAGTAAGCCATCCTAGAATTAGTGCACTTTTTCCCTGCTATTAATTCCAAGTTTAAAGTTAGTTGTTAACTTCCTGGGAGGAAGGCAAGAGCACAGCAGATTTTAGAACTTCTTAGGTTTCTTTCATGTAATCCCAGAAATTCTGTTTAATAACAGTGATTTATCAGGCCAAGTCCAGTTTACTGTAATCATGCAAATAACCCCCATAAAGCCCAAAGGAAAAGCAGCATCATCAGGAAAATATGATCTGGCCCACAGTTTTACTCCAACAGAATGTAGTTTCAAAGTGACTGTTGCACTGCTGTTCTCTCCCTGATACCTATAATTCCACCTGTGTTTAAAATCTCTTTGCATTTCCTCTACCACCCGTATATAATTTTTCCTTCATAGGTACGATGTGGTGCAACACTTGTCTAAGCAATCCTCACTTGCACACTTAACCCTAGGGTACTCAAAAGGACTAGAATACAGCGAAAAGAAATAATTGCTCGAAAAAGGATTTTGCAGGAGGGGTACTCAGTTGTTTCTTAGACCACCATCCTGTAAAACTGCAGACAACACAGACAAAATACAGTTGTTTCACAGAAGACATCTTTAATCAAGGCGTGTTTCTCTACACGATTCTAAGTGTATGGATTCTTGCAAATAGCTAACAAACATATTTCTGAGTACACTGAACTAAACAGGGCAGTTTTCAAAAGTATCTCCATGCATCTCGCCAAGTGGCATACACCGTAGTTATCTATGGGTATTTTCCTTTACACATAAATAGCAAGAGATTTACAGCCACTTGCATTCTGTAAGCATTGCATGCAACGATGATTTTTAATAGCAACTGAATTAACTTTTAACTGCAAGGAATAAAAACTCAAAACTTCTGCTTCAGGACGCTACTAATAAGAATAAAAATAGTTAATTATTAAAACCGGTTATCAGAAGGAAAAAAAAACAACTTCAGATGTTCTTTAGCGCTCCTCCATTGTAAGATACTTCAATATTTAAAAGAAAAGGAATTAAAATGGAATATTCCTCTTCAACTTAAGCATACCCATACAGAATCAGATTTATCAACAGTACGAAATAATCTCCTACCTACAGTTTGCTTCATGCAACTTTTTAGAAGAACATTTTTTAAAAAATGCTCCTAGACACCACAAAACTGTTCAATTTAAAATCAGCTAATCGATCACCTTTCTGCAAAGCTGCATTTCTTTTCTTTAATGTAATAGAAATATTTGAGGGATTTCCGTTTTTACCTTTGCATTTTTCCTTTTCCAGTATCCATAACCAATCATCGCTCTGCTCTTCCATTATGCTTCATATATTGCAGAGTGAGAAGCATCTTCATTAAATAGTATTAAAAATAGAACACACCCGATCTCCCCACCGGAGCATGCTCTGACAGCGCTGATACCACAGCTTTCAAGGTAACCATGCCCAGCTGGGAACTGAGAGGCAAAGGCAGTGCGAGATTAGCAATTTGCAAGCCCAATTGTGCACACAAACTTGCCTCGATCCGTGACGAAGACTGCTAAAACAGAAATCAGCGTGCAGTTAAAGTATACAACTGAAAAGTTGCAGGTCAGTTTACAGTACGGGTTGGTTGTTTGGTTTTTTTCCCCCTCCCCATCACCCTCGGCTTCAATTGCTTTGTACTTGCCTAAAACGTACATATGCTATTTAGAAGAAGGCGCACCGGGCATGCATCTGGCTCAGCATTGCAACGGCAGAGAAGTCAAACAGATGATGCACAGACACTTGTGTCGCTCTCTAATGTCTTTGTTTCCCCTCCCGGCACATTTACAGCGATGTCACACGGCGGCGGGATGAGTTTTAAGCGAAACCGCACACACCTGGAAGCGCAGAGACACACCTAGCACGTAAAAATGCACTCGAAATCTGAGCGTGTTCCCCCCGCAGGCTGACACGGTAAATGAAGGCAAAATAAATAACAGCAATTAAACAAGGCTGCGCAATGGCTGCGCTCGATGAGCACGTCTGGGTTAGAGTTATAAGCGATATCGTTTGAGACGCACAGACAAGTAGGCAGAATACACCAAGCGGAGTAACATGAACTGCTTTTTGTGAAAACAGGACACCCAATAATACGCATGTAACTCCCGAACTGGGACCCTCCTCCACTGCATGCAAAAAGAGATGCTAAGGAAGCACCAAGTAAATCTGTTGCCCTCAAATCGCCACCCTTCAGAACAATGCCAGTCCAAGCAGCCCAGGCTTGCCCTCCAGCAAACACGGTTTTGAAAGGGGATGCTGTTGACAAATCAGCGAGTAAAAGTTGAGATTTTTTCCTTTAAGTTTGATCCGTTTTAGCTAAAATGACAGCTGAGAGGACGGAGCTCTCCCCTTCCCCCCCTCCCCCCCGCAGATCCCCTCCCTGGCGCTCGTCTCCCCACCCAGGTTCCCGGACAGCGGCCACCTCACCTCCGCGCCGGACCCCGACCCGCCTCAGCTCCGGCCAGCAGCGCCTCTGGCGATGACCGGCCGGCGGCCGAAACTTTGGGAAGCCGCCGCCCTCCGCAGGGCAGACGGCCCCGCGACCACGCCGAGACCCGCAGCGAGCCCTCCCCGCCCTACCTGGCTGTCACCACCGCTATGCTGCCGCTCCGCAGTCCCGTGCAAGGCTCCGGCTCCAGCACCGATAGCATCCTGCCCCGCCGGACTATGAACGACACCCTTTTTTCCTTTCTTTTCCCTCCCACTCTGGTAAATACCGCATCTTAGAGCCGGAATCCTGCAGCCGCTATTAATAATTGCACATCGCACGCAATAAAGGCAAGCCCCGGCTGCATACATGGCTCCTGCTTCCCTCTTCCTCCGCTCCACATTCTCCAGCCGCCCTGACCTCAAAAATTAAAAGATCACGGGGAAAGGTGGGGGGGATGGGGCGAATGACTCCAACGAAATGACAGAAAACATGCTGAAAGGAAAAAAAATAGACAAAAAAAATCGCAACAACAAAGAACATCACGCCACACAAATGTCGACAGATTCTGCTTTGGCTTCTTTGGGGTTTGTTTTCGGTTTTTTTTCGTTCCTTTTTTTTTTGTTGTTGTTGTTGTTTTTGTTTGTTTGTTTGTTTTACCTTGCCTGCAAACGGGATCTGCCCCCAGCGTCTTGGCGGCTCGGGTTATTTTTGTTTGTTTGGTATTTTTGGTTGGCCGGTTTGTTTATTTTTGCTGCGGATACGCTGCTGTTACAGTACAGTGCGTGTCTTCCTGAAAGACATGGTCTCTTCCTCCGCCTCCGCCGCGGGAGGAGATCCGCCGCCGCGCCGCGCTGCTGCCCGGGCGCGGTGGCCGCGGCGGCGCCGCCCGACCCGCCGGCCGCCTCCTGCCTCGCCCCGATCCGCCGCCGCCGCCTGCCTCTGCCCGTCCTCTCCCGGCGCCCGCCTGGATCCCCGTCTGGCTCGCTCCTCTCTGCCTGTCCTCCGTCCTTTATCTGCCGCGCTCGCCGGCTGTACTGTCTGTCTGCGAGTCTCTCCCTCTCCCTTTCTCTGTCTCCCCGCCCACGCAGCGTGGTGCGCCCCGGACCGCAGGCAGCGCCGCGCTCCGGCTCTGCTCCGCGCCGGCTCCGCGCTCGCTGCGCTCAGCGCCGCCGCCGCCGCCCCGGCTGGCACTGCCTCGGCCGCCGCACAGGAGCGGCCGGCCCCGCCGCCATGGCGCTCCCCGCCCTCACCCCACCCAGAGCCCCACGCAGCGCCCGGAGCTGCCCGCCCGGGCTCCGTGTCTGTCTGTGTGTGGGGTGGCTCTGTCTGTATGTCTGAGTGTCTGCCCGCCCGTGTGCGTGTGGCTTCCCGCACGCCGGCCCCTCCAGTCACACTGCTTCTCCCCCCCGCCACCACCAGACAAACCCTCCCCGTCAGCCCATCCCCAGCCAGGAGCAGAGACAAAGCACCCGAGCGGGGCTAATAAGGAGAAAGCTCGTTAATCCCCTCCGATTCCTTGTTATTTGCTCCCACCCACTCCCCGTCGCCCCCAACACACGCTCAAACACCCCACCTCACTCTCCCAAGACAAAAAAAAGAGAGAAGGAAATGGGCCCTTGGCTCCAGAGGACAGCTTTAGTGAAGGTCTGGGGGGGGCGGTTTTAATTATTATTTTTGCTTGTGAAACCTGACAGCCTCCGCGTTGATCAGCCGAGCTGCTGAAAGGGGAGGGGGGAAAAAAAAAAAAAGACTGCAGCAGGTTTTGGGTAGTAGAAGATAAGCCACTGAAAATGGGGCACATGATCCCCTTCCCCCTCCCCTGCCCAGCATGACTCTATCTAGGATCTCGCTTGATGATATTTCTCCTGGAGCCGTGCTGCACACCATCAAGACAGAGGGAAACAGGCAATTCAGCGGCACATGCATTTCCAATACATAAAACCCCTGCTATCCATTTAAAACCTGAGCCTCATTTTACCCAATTGAATACATCCAGGCATTCATTCTGCACCCAGCCGAGAAAAGGGCATTTACCTCTTCGGTAGGTGGCTATTAATATGCAGTAAAATTATAGCTGTACAATGCCAAATGTAATTGCCATAGATCATTTAGAGCAGATCCAGCAATTCAGCTGCTGGAAATGCATGTCTGTGAATAACCATGCATCTGGTACAATGCCCTCTACTACAATAACCTGAAAGGAGACAGAAGTGTCTGGTACTAGCTGCAATTAGTAATCCTATGGATGAAAAATAAACAGTCAATAAGTACAAAGCAGCAAGGTCCTATGAAATATAGCGATCGTTTCTGTCTACAGCAATACAAATAACCCAGCTCCCACAGACAGACAATTCGTATTTAAAATACACAGTTAAAAATGCACTCCTTTCATTATGTGCTTTCAGAAAGTCCTAGTTATGAAAGACAGCTTGCTACGATTAATGAACATAGTAGAACTTGCATACCAGTAAATATGGACAAATATACAGAAGGCTGGGGGAGGATGGAGACAAATGTTTGCTTTAGTAGGTATTATCCTGGCACCCCTGGAATCCCTCTATCCCCTCAGAAGCAAACACCTGCTTTTACTGGGGACCACTGAATGAAATCAGACTGGAAGAATACAGTGAGCGATGAACCACAACAGCGTGTGCATTAGCTGGCTCTTGGTGCACGCCTCAAGTGATCAGAGGCATTCAGCCAGGCACACCAAAACCTGTTCTGCTAATGCACCTCTTGATGTGGCTTCCTCCTGGGATGGTCCTGTGTGGCTCCATCTACTTTTAAATTCATTCTTTAACATATTGCCACACTGTGCTACAAGTTCAATCTGAAAGCAAAAAGACCAACAGAAAGGCTATAAATGGCACTAGACTGCTACAGCTGGTGACAGGGGAAGGACCAGCTCTTTGCTTTTTGCCATTTGATGTTTCAGCTATCTCCACAGTAGGCCAAATTAATTTTCCAAAATGGCTATCAAAACTGTTCTGAACATGCACAGGACCTCACCTAGCTGCTGCACATCATTCCTTCCCTTCCAAGCAGATAAGCGAGAGAATGCACACTGCAACAGGACACAAAAGCATTACTTCCTGGTGCCTTCACCAAACGGCTTGCAATTCACCTACAGGAGGAGAAGGGGTGAGGGTAGTCAGTGTTTCAGAACCTTGCTCGAGTCACTAGATGCAATGAACCTGTACAACAGTCACGTGTCCACAGTTTGTCTCCCACTATTGAGATACTGAAGTGCCAAACCTATGTGTCAGATCTGTAAGTAGATAAAAATTAATCCAAGCTGTAGTCTGGCACTACCTTCTCCTATGTGGCAGGATGTGCTTGGGGTGAGTTACCAAATGTTAAAAGATGCCAGCTATAGCAACACTAAAGGAAATAATCGGGGAAAAATAACCAAACAGTATTACTCCAGTATCATGTAAGCAGTATTTCAACTCAGAACGGTGAGCAGCATCAAATACAGCGTGTGCAAATAAGTGAAATTGCCTCCCTTTGTTGAGAAGTCACCTCAGACCTTGTTCAGATACTAACCTGACAGAATATGCAGCCTACATCCCCTCCTTCGGGACTTTTCTTTGCAAAAAAGAAACATCACAATCATTACACAATTATAATTTTAAAGAGGTGGCAAACTACAGCAATGACTTGCTGCTGCCTGCCCTGATTTGTAAACATGCACAGGGATAACTGTCCACTTAAGCTTCATGAAAGTCAGCAGAAGCCTTGTGTTTAAGCAGAGGCAGAATTTGATAAACTCTTCAGACCTCTGACTCCTTTTTCTGTTTAAGTAGCCAAATTTTGAGGGTAATCAGGAAAAAAAAAAGACACAGGACATACTTCTACAAATACTTTCTTGAGTAATGCATTTAATTAATTAACCAGCAGCACATGCTTTCTAGGACTGTGGAAATGCCAAGTGCCCCTGCACAATAGAACCATGTGTATCAGTGAAGCATATGTGTGCTATAGGTACACAAAATTCCTACAGACAACACCAAACACTTCAGCTCAAGGTACTTTCAAGGCATGACAACGGATTATATTACTTGTTCACTGTGAGCACACTTTTTAACTATGATATCTCAATTTCACTTAGAAATCAAGAAAATCTTAATGGGCTTTCAAAAACCGGTATCTGATTGGAAGTATGAGATGTCAGACAAACATACGGAGCTTCTTGCAGTTCTGCAATCACAGGAGATTCTTGTGATAGAAGGCATAGAGTGTTACTAAATACATTAATAAAAGCTTGCACGACTGGTTGCAGATTTCTGCTTCTTCTAGTCATTTTTCAGTGAAAAAAAACTCTAGCATGTAAAGTCTATTGTGTTTTGGAGTTATGGAATGGTTCAGTTTGAGGCCAAACAGTATAAGCTAACTGTTGATGTTTTTTATCATAATTTTCTGTGAAAGGGATCAGTTTTATGGGTTTTTAATTTATTTTTAAACTTTTTCTTCCTTTTTATGTCCTACATGTTACAAACAAATTAATCATGCACGGTTTGCAGATGGACTTAAAAATACTGTGCTTCTATTTAAAGTGGCACTTTACAATATGTAAATATAGCCAAATTGCTCCAGTTTTACATACTTCTCAGGAAGAGCTGAAACATTTTTCCAGCTACAACATCTCAAGTAATGGAAAATTAACCAAGCAATTTGTGTAAAGCATGTACTGGTAGCTCAGATTTGATAAAAACCCAAAGCTTTATGCTCTTTCCAATGAATTCAGTAAGAATTTTGCAATGGATTTCATTAGGATTAAGATCAGGTACCTAAATCTCAGACTCTCTCTTTGGAGAAAGATCAATGAACAACCCTTTAAAATATAATCTGTTGCTAGAGGGGCTGAGGAAGCTTTTTTTTCCACTGAAAGCAAAGCATCATTTCTTTGTGTTTGACACTTGAAATCCCCTCTTAGTTTCTTTTAGAAATACCAAAGTGTTTGATGTGCCATATCTGTGTATCTTGAAAAGGATATTCCGGTGTGGAGTTCCTCACCCCACCAAAAAAAAAAAAAAAAAAAAAGATGGCTGATCCCCCTAAGACAGAAACTGTAGCTCTTGCTCAGCTCTGACTTTCAGAAAAAGAGGAGTAGGAATTTGAACTCTGGCTTTGACAGCTAGAATTGTGCAAATGGTTTCTCCTATTGTGGCCTTTAATTTATATTTACAGGCAGGAGGACTGGGGGACTTTCATGTCACAGTGTTAGAGAGGCAGTGGACTTTTTCACGGGCTGAAGGGTGGCTGGCAGCTCCAAAAGGGATATTCCAAAGTAATCCAGAGGCCACACAAAGGGTTCAGCGTGGTATCCTTCTGACTCAGTTATATTGCTGACAACACTGAAAGAGCTGTGACAGGTTGAGAGATGCAGGCCGTGGGCAGCTCTCTGTTGCTCTGAACAGAAACACATCTCTGATATAGAAACTTAGCATAGCAGTATTTTTATAATAGGTATGTGTGGTGTCTACGGTAGGACAAAGCTGCAAAACATGAAGTGGTGAGTAATAGAAAGAGCAGTAAGAAGAGAGAGTCAGCAAGAATGTTGTGAGCTGTGGTATTAGGATGAGCCAGAGAGAAAATGGTGGGAAAAAGAGGAGGAGGGAGAGTCCCAGGTAGGGAATGCAGTGAGTTGGTTATCTTGAGATCTGTGATTCATTGTGGGGAATGTGCACTACCTGCACATATTAGAGTACTGTAGGGAAGAAATCAGGCTGAGGAAATTCTGAAGTCTTCCGATAGGATTTATGAGCTTTAATAATCCAATGGCTCAGGGTCATCTAAGAGCCCAGGAACTGCTTGGCTCAGAAGTATAAGTGACTCTAAGGAGACATATGACAAACACAGCATCTGCAGGAGTGTAGTTACAGTCCTTGGCATAGGAGCCATAAGAATCACAAACAAGTTCACCAGCACAAAACAGTTTCCCATCAAGATCTTATCAAGAAAAGTCTTTATTGCAACCCTTTGTTTAAAGCAAAGTATAAAAGCGTAGCTTTCCTCCTAGCACACCTGTCTAGAAGACAAGCTTGGGTGACAATTTTCAGCTATCACAATAAGATGTGACTTTCAACACAGGTACATGGTGCCTCTCTCACTGCTGAAACATCACTAGACCTACACCTGCTCTTAAGGTGCCCTGG